GACGGATGAGTCAGAGGGACCGTGGGTGCAGTGGGAGCCTGTCCCCATCAAGGTGCAAGGCTGCAAAGCGCCCCGGCACCAACACGGACGCCGCGCGCGGAAGGCTGCAGGCAGGCTCCCGGCCCGTGCCTGCTCCGGGACGCAGCGACGGCTCTGGGACGGCGGTTCCGTCTCTGAGGAGGACCAGCAGCCAGGGGCCCAGCGGTGATCTCCAGTTCATGTCAAGGGAGGCTGCTCCGAGCTCTGCCCACTCCTCCTGGTCACGGGGTTTGCCCACGTGCTCTGGTTCACACGGTGAACCAGGATCTGAAGGCGGGTGAGCCGGGCCCAGACCACACGGGCCGGACTTTGAATATTGGCTCAGCCAGGGGCTCAGGGTTCTGCTCAAATGCGTGGGTGGGAGGAAGAAGGTTGGGGGGAGGCGCAGAGGCCAATGATGAGTGACTGTGAAGACAGCACAGGCCTGCGTGCGCGTGTGTGTGTGTGCGCACGCACATGTGTGTGTGAACCCATGTTATGGTGGAGAGCGGGGTGGGGCCTCGGACTTTGACAAGTGAGGGGTGCACGTGGGAGTGAGAACTCCAAGGAAAGCAGCACCAGTCTTGATCAGAAGCACCAACCCAACCCTCCCTTGCTCCAAAGCCTTCACAGCTCCCTGTTGCCCTCAGGTCACTGATGGGCAAAACCCAGCTCCGTGGCCTGATACGTGAGGCCCCCAAAGGTCCCCGTTGACATCTCCGCCTCTCTGCCTGCTCTGACCGCCCCTCCCAGTGCTGTGAGGACTGTGATTCTGGTCCTCCCACTGCCCACGGCCTCCATTTCTCATCCTTGTAGCCTTGTGCTGGACAACCTTTTGGGGGCTTGCTCCCTGGGGTTTGCCAAGACCTCCCACCCACGGAGGCCTGCTTTGAGTGCCACCTCCTCCAGGAAGTCCTCCCTGAACCCCAGGTGGACTATGGGCCTCCTCAGGGCTCCTACTGCCCCTGTGTATCCTGTTGACTTAGCCCAGTCCCCCGGGGTTCAAAACGTCCGTTTCCCTGTCTGTCCAGCCCCCGGACTCCGCGCCTCCTTTCAGGAGCAGGAACCTGTCGGATTCAGCGCAGGTGGACACCTGGTGAAGGCTGCCACAAAGACGGGAGACCCAGGGTGTGGTACACACAACAGGGCTCAGCAAAGCCGAGACCGGCAGTAACCAGCAGGGGTCGGCTCTGTACCAGGCACGGCTACAAAGGCTTCGCACCACGTGGCTCAGTTCTCGTGGCACCCAGAGGGCACCTGTGTCAGCCCCTTTGCAGGAGAGGAGACCAGCCCGGGAAGGTGAGAGGCCAAGTGACATGTGTGTCCAGAGCGCGGAGCCCGGCCAGGAACCCAGGGCACCTGGCCCCGTGTCTGCTGCCTCCCTAAAGGCGTCCTCCTGTCCAGTTTCTCTCACTCTTTTGACCATGACCCATAGTTTAACATCTTCATGATGGCCCTGGCCAGTGTGGCTCAGTTGGTTGAGCATCACTCAAAAGGTTGTAGGTTCAATTCCTGGTCAGGGCACATGCCCAGGTTGCAGGTTCGGTCCCTGGTCAGAGGCAACCGATGAATGTGTCTCTCTCACACTTATGTTTCTCTCTCTCCCTCTCTGTCTGTCTCTGTCTCTCTCTCTCTCCCTTCCTCCCTCTCTAAAATCAATTAAAATAAAATCTTCGTTACTTTATGACCCAGCCCAGAAACGAGTTATTCAAGAAGCAACCCTACGATGCATCTTGACAGTCTCTGTTCTATTCTAGTCCAGCCTAGTTCATGCCATTTAAAAAAAATCCCAGTCATTACCCACTAAACTGATTTCCCAGTTCCTCACTGGGAATAACTGGGGCTGGTCCGAACGCCTCTGCAGGACGGGAGGAGACAGGCGAGGGAAGGGGCTCCCGCCCAGCTCAGCNGGCTCCTGCCCAGCTCAGTGCCCAACTGAACCTCAGTGCCGAGGGGCTGGGGTTAGAGACCACAGGGCCACCCTCGGGCTGCTTACCTGAGGTAGCACTGCCGCTCCTTGCCCGGCCAACCTCTGCAAGGAGCTGACCTGAGGACCCGTGACAGGCACTGCAGTGATGGATCCCAAAGCCTGGAAGACAGGAGGGCACAGCTGAGACGGGACGCGGCCGAGACGCACACGGCCTGCAGCCGGGGAGAGGGCCCTCGCCCNGCACACGGCCTGCAGCCGGGTCCGTGCTGGCACCCCGACCGCGGACTCAGCCTCCAGAACTGTGAGCAATACATTTCTGTGGTTTACGAGCCCCCCGGTCTGTGGGATTTTGTTATAGCAGCTCAAACGGGCTAAGGCAGCCTCCACCTGCAAACCAGGAAGAGGACCCTCACCAGGAACTGAGTCAGCTGGTCCACCTTGACCTTGGACCTCCCGGCCTCCGGCACTGCGAGAAGTAAATGCCTGTCGTGTGAGGCCCCCGGTCTGTGGGGATTTTTGTAGCAGTCCAAACAAGGTCATTTGCCGTAAGGCCCAGCCATCCCACTCCCAAACTATACCCAAGAGAAATGAAAGCACGTGTCCACCCAGAGACTTGTAAATGTCTCAAATATCCAGAAACAGCCCAAACATCCACCAACCGGTCCTGGTATATGAACACCTGGTATATCCGCCCAGTGGAAACAGGCCCACAGATGAGCCCCCAGTGGAAACAGGCCCACAGATGAACACCTGGAATATCCACCCAGTGGAAACAGGTCTGCAGATACGCCCTTGGTAGGTGCCCCCAATGGAAACAGGCCCTGATATATCTGCCTGCAGCTCTTCAGGGGCATCTTACAGGGTGTGGGTGCCCCGGTGCCCGGGCAGTGGGAAGAGCACAGAAGATGGGGGGCGATCTCCTGAGTCACAGCCCAAAACCTTTTGAGGGAAATTTGCTACAAATGAGGGGGCTGAGCAGTGGCCCTGCCTCCCCGCCGCCCCCTCGGCAGGGTGGGTTTCCTCCCAGAACGCCCGTCACCTCCCACCCACTGTCCGTTCTCCTGCCAGGGCCCCCGACCTCCATCTCTTAGCTTCTCTCGGCTCTGAGGCCCCCCGTATAGACCTTTAATTAACAAGCTGAGAGGACACTTTATCTGGCGGGGGCCGACCTCTGCTCCGCGTCGGAATTTATCGACAGCAGCGGAAACCATCACGGAGGTCGTTTCACGAGCACCGGATAGTTTATAGCCTCACTTTTGTTAAGATAAACGAGCTCCTTATGACTGCATTTACAGCCCGAGGCGCTTTAATAGGGAAAAACGGGGCCATAAAAGTCAACGATAACTTCAGATTCCCCCAGCATGGGGGAGTCCCCGGGGCAGCCCGAGGGCCCTCAGACACTGAGGCAGGTGGGAGGCGCAGAGGGGACAGGTGCTGTGCTCAGTCCCCAAATGTCCCTGCAGATGTGCCCCCTGGCTTCATCCGAGGCGGCCCCCAGCCCCTCCCTGGCACCACCCGCCGCCCAGGTGCCCACAGGCCTCCTAGTGACACGAGGCGTGTCCTGGGCTGAGACTCAGCCAGAGGAGGGGATCAGGACTCAGAGAGCTCGGGGGAGGCGGAGAAAGGGGTGCGGGCTGTGCAGGGGGCGGGGGCCGGGCCACAGGCTGACGCCGAAGCTCAGGCTCCATCCCTGAGCAGTGGTCCCCGAAGGATGGGGCTACTGGACGTGGAGATGACATTTCTAAAGGGCACGTCCATCCCTCTCCTCACTTGACCTCCGCGGCTGGCCCGGGAGCCCAACCCGCTGCAGAAGGAGGCAGGGACCTTGCCCTGAACGCCCTTATCCGGGACATTCCCTGTGACCTTGGTCTGGGAGGCTGGTGTCCAGCAGGGGACACCGGGGGCTGGTCGGGGCAGCTGGGGCCTGGACTGCTCCCTGTGGGGCCTGCACGCCGGGCGTGGCTTCAAGGACAGCGGGGAAGGGGGCACCGCACCCCCCCACCGACTGGGAGCGTTTGCTGAGCTGACCAGGGCGGGGCTCCTGCCGCCTGCACCCCAGGAGGGCCGCGCCCCCACCGGCTGGGTGAGGGAGGTGGGGCAGCTGCCCAGGCCTCGGGGACCCACGCGGGACAGCCCGGGAGCCGCGGCCTTGTCTCCACGCCCCGCTGGCGGCGCCCAGCAGCTTCTCCAGCCGCAGTTTCCTCGCATCGTAACGGAATCCCTGGGGTGCGGGGCGAAGGTGACACCTAAGCTTCCACCTCCGTCGATGCCAATAAATATTAATATAACGTACACATCACTTTCACTGGCAGGTGAAGCCAGCTTAGTATTCACAGACGACCCGGCCGCCGCCTTCCTCTCTGCCCGGAGTGACAGGCAGCTCCACGTGCTGCGGGCCGCTCCTGCCGGGGGGCTGTCCCGCCAGCTCGGGCCCCACTCCCGCCTCCCCTGACCCCACGCCCACTCCCACGGACCCCACGCCCACTCCCACGGACCCCACGCCCACTCCCACCGACCCCACTCCCACGGACCCCACGCCCACTCCCACCGACCCCACTCCCACTCCCACGGACCCCACGCCCACTCCCACCGACCCCACGCCCACTCCCACGGACCCCACGCTCACTCCCACTGACCCCACGCCTGTCCATACAGGCGTGCCAGGGGTGTGTGGGATGCATGTGACAACCCACGGACGCGCACACGTGTCTGCTGCCCCTGGAAGCCCCTCTCCTCCCAGCCCACGTCCGTGTCCCCAGCTGTGACGGGCACGTACCCAGAGCGACGCCGACCAGCCTGCCCTCAGCTTTCATCCTCGCTGGCCTGGGCCACGCCAAGCGTCCCTGGCCTCACCTCCTTTCCCTGCTCCCAGGGCCGGCGGGGAGGGCAGAGGCGCCGGCAGAGCTGCTCCCGCAGATACCTCAGGGACCGAGCGTGGTCACAGTCGAGAGGGAGGGATGGGCCCAGGAGAGCGACACAGCTGGCACGCGAGGGTGAGCAGCCCCCTGTGGCGCCCCTTCTGGGCATATCCGGGGCCACCCACGCCCACGTGCGTAGGGACACAGACCCGCAACAGTGCCACGGGGGGGAAACAGCATCCCGAGTGTCCATCGGGGTTGTTCCCATGATGGAAAAGCCCCCAGACGCCAGAGGCAATGGGCCACCGCACACACGTGCCACACGAGCATGAAGACGTGTCCCCACGAAACCCACGGGTGCACACGCCACCCGGCACCACTCACGGAAAGTTAGCACCGCAGGCTGCGTGGCCGGGGGCGTACAGTAAACAGGCAAAACCGATTAACGGCTGCGCTGCCCTAGGGAGGCAGGAGGGACGGAGGGACCTGAGACCCTGTGTACGGTGACTGTGGGCCAGGGAGGAGCTCTCCGGGGCAGGCTGGGGACAGGGATGGGTCCTCACCTCTCTCCACGTGACGGGTTGCGGGCGGCTGTCTCCCCGCAGGGGCAGAGTGTCCGACTAGCCCGTGGCGGTGCAGAGGCCCCGCTCAGATCTCCCCTCCCAGGACTGTCTGTGCCTCATGCCCACGGGCACCCGCCCCTGCCAGCCCCGGCCCTAGGCGTTCTGCTTTCTCCTGGGGCCTGGGGACGGTCCCCAGTGCATGGCCGCTGTGAGGAGAGGGGTGCACACCCAGGGTGCGCTCAGGAGACTTTAAAACCAGAGCCCTCTCCCCAAACCGGCTTCTTCAAGCCCCCGAGGGAAGTCATCCTCTGAAGCTCGGGCAGGGATGCTGCACATGCCCCTCCCGTCCACAGCGAACCTCGGGGGAACGCTGCGAGGCCGCTGCAGCGATGCCGGGCACAGGCGGCTCCAGCCTGGCTGGGTCCCGGTGACCCTGACCGCGAGGGCGAGGCGAGGCGAGGCGGACTGCCCGGCCACTTAACCACACGGAGGTCTGCGCCGGGGAGGCCGTCCTTCATCAGAAAGCCCCAGAAGACACAAGTGGCTCCTCCAAGCTGACATTTACCACATCCTTTCAGCAGCCCAGTGTGGCCAAGTGGTTTAATTAACTTGAAAGGGTGTAATTTTCTGCTATTTAGTAGGAAACACACACTCTAAATGGCATCATGGACTAAGAATTGGGCTGTGACCTCGAGGGT